ATCTTGGACCGCCATCTTGAATTTTTTCAAATCCAATTAAAAAACTAAGTATTGAGGCAAACAGCTCAAAATGTCTGAAATACTTCTCAAACTGACATTAAATGAATAAAAAAGTGAGTTTCGAAGTGTTACTGATGATTTTAATGAAATTTTCTCCCATATGAAAAAACAACTGAAAACCACCCACCCCTCCCCCCAAAGTTTTTGTTGTCCAGGAATCAGGAATGGAGCAAGCTCAAATAGGTAAAAGATGCATATTTTAAGCATATTTTACATTTTTGTGTCAAAAACTGGTTGCCATGGCAACATGGATGACGATATCAACAAACAGAATACATCAAAATCTGCCCAGATAAATTTTAGGAAAATTCCGAAAGTTTTTAAGGCTGTCCACAAGTTGCTCGGCAACTTTTGGGCAACTTTTTGAATTTCGAGCAACTTTTTCACTTTCGAGCAACTTAGAGCAACTTTTGATCTTTTTAGCATTTTTTGTTCTTTTTCTGACTTTTTCAGGGTTTAACCCCACGTAATCTATTGAAAAAGAGTAGACTTTGTATTTTCAATACTGATTTTTAGAAATGTACTTGATCAAACAATTGTTGTCTTTAGAGTGGGCTTCCTGTGTAAAATAAGGTTGAGCTAGCATGGGACTCGTTTCATTTGTAAACAAAATGGCGGACGGAGTTGAACGCTCCAGTGATTCAGATTCAGGACAATTGAGCCCTTTTTCGATTAAACCGTCTAATTGATTAAAAAATAAATAAACTTTATGTTTAGCAACTTTTGGGCAACTTTTTGATTTTTTTAGCAACTTTTGGGCAACTTTTTGGACTTTTTAGGGCAACTTTTTGAACTTTTTGGAGCAACTTGTGGACAGCCCTAAAAGTTTTGGTTCGAAAGGTATTGGCATTTTACTCGAGGGGGCACTCAAAAGCCCCCCCCCCCCCCCCAGTCTGAATAGGGTTAATAGAGGTTGACCGTTTAATAGAGGTTGGCATTTTAATTGAGGCTGACCGTTTAATAGAGGTTGACCGTTTAATAGAGGTTGACCATTCAATAGAGGTTGACCGTTTAATAGAGGTCGTTTAATAGAGGTTGACGCTTGACGTTTAATAGAGTCTGACCGTTTAATAGAGGTTGGTCGTTTAATAGAGGTTGCCGTTTAATAGAGGTGGGCCGTTTAATAGAGCTTTGAAGTTTTAAAGAGGTTGACCGTTTAATAGAGGTTGACCGTTTAATAGAGGTTGTCCGTTTAATAGAGGTTGATCGTTTGAGTTTGTCCGTTTAATAGAGGTTGACCGTTTAATAGAGGGCTCAGGCTGAACGTTTAATAGAGGTTTGAAGTTTAATAGAGGTTGACCGTTTAATAGAGGTTGACCGTTTAATAGAGCTCACGTTCACAGTAAAAGTAAGAGAATCGAAGTTTGTAGAATTCATCAAAGATTGCAAGCATATATATTTTTTTAGCTTAATATTTCTCGAGCTTATAACTGATCATTTTGTCGCCAAAAMAAATTTACAACGTGGTGTCGGAAAGCCCTTGATGTTGCACTTCATTGATTGGGATACACGGTTGGAAGATGCATGATCGTCATACAAGCCTGGTTATCAACATTTTCGCGCGCACACCAATTAATTTCTTGCAATTCCGCTCTTGACTAATTTATAGCTTCTTCGTATACATATAATCTCAACTCTTTTAAAAGAAAGATGAGGCCGCAAATAATATAAACGACACGACCCAGAGACTATTCCCACTTTACCCATGCGCAACGTGGATAATAATATAGACTCTGGAATATTCAAACTGCCAAAGCCTGAGGCTATAACATACCATATGATCGGTAGGACTCACTAATATAACGGATTTTTATCAAATATTTTGAACCATGAAAAGACATAATATCTTTCACATGTGAAGATATCATTGTTGGCATGGTGACACTGCATTTTTTCGGCAATTAGATCAATTTTTATATAAAGATCGATAGATCGATATGTATATAATAAATAAACATTGCATGGCCGCTTGGAAATACTAATTTTATCTTCTCGTGTTCAATTGATATCGATTGAACACTCGAAGATAAAATTAGTATTTCCGCGCGCTCATGTGATATCCTCTATATATTACATGCTTTCGAGGTTAAGGCTGCACAATAAGATCTCGAAACTGGAGTATTGCAGCTTACTGAACACGAGCCGTATTTTGGTAAGAAAGTATGTGGTGACCATAACACCGTGAAAAGTTTATAAGTACAAACTTGGCAGACAATAACATGGAGTCTTTAGATGTCTTAAWCTATCATCCAAACTCTTAGAATTCACTCAATTATTTAAACTTCCTTTTAYTTAGCGTCAATAATACAAGACAATATAAGTACATTTCGTAACTTTTGTTTGGAACTTCATTAAATGTGCCATCGCGTGACCCTTGCTTGATTTTCCGCATTCAACTTTGATTGCAAAGCATAAAATTGAAAATTCATGATTWTTTCCAYGTAATTTGAATGAATTTATGAATGTTTTCACTTGTTGATTTAGCAGCAAACATTTCGAGCAATAAAATGTTTGTTAGATGAAAGATTTTGATTTTAAGAGATTTATGACGTCATGTGGAAACCAAGAATTCAATCTCGAAAATTCTACAAGCTCCTCTATGAATTCCTTGTTAACTCCCTTATTTCACTCCTGGCTGGCAACGTTTTGGAACAAGCGGCTTGATCAGTATAACTAGGAATGTACTATTTTGGTCAAATGACGTCATTGATACTATATGCATAACTTTTTCACGCTGTTATATTATTATACCACAGTGTGAAATCTCGATATTCGAGATTGAGGTAAGTAATACATATCCTATTACAAATAGAGCCACAAATCTTACGATACAGATATCATCGAGTATATTACCCTAATGCACTAGGTTTTTTGGAGGTTTTCCTTTATTTTATTTGTCTTTGGATATATATTTCAAACATGTATTTTTCCTGGTTTTCAAGTGATGTCTCGTTATTGAAAACATGTAGATAAAGTCATTGTCAAAGGAGGTACGCTTAGCAACTTTAAGTCTTGTCAATGTCATTTATACTTGTTTTTGTCCTATTTTGAAGAACATATTGTCATTTGAGTTTTGTTATAGCAATGCTAAACTAATTTAGCGCATTAATATTTCATGTTTGGACGCTTGTTCATATTGTCAGCGTTATATTTACATATTATGAACATTTGGCTTTGTAGACTGTGACGAAAATGCAAAACAGCCAAGAAACTTGAAATTTGTCGACGCTTTGTGTCCATGTCTAGTGACAGMTTAAAAGCCAAAAATTCAATTTTGTTTTGTTGGGTTTATTGGATAAAATCCTTTTGTGCTTAGGGATTCATCCGTCTCTTTTTTTGAAACGAAGGAGAAAACACTTCCTCAATGGCTTCCTTATTGTTGATATACGTTCTTGTGGTTGGACTCTCTCAACCAAGCCAAGCAGCTGGTATGTATGGAAGAAAGATATGAAAAATGTCTCTAGAACTTACATTAATTCTGTATGAAGTCGGGGCAGATGTAGTTTTATCGTAAAGCGATACATAAATCCGAGTTTTAATGAGAACATTTGGATTGGCACAATTTATTTCGTAAAATATACGTATTTAAAGGTTGGAAAAATTAACTTTTTTATTTAAAATGGCCACGCGAAAAGGGTTATCTATACTCATATCCGACGCTTTGAGTGTAGGATTTCTTTGAGTAATAATAAGAGCTCGCGAAAAGCGACAAAACTTTAGTCATCTAAAAACTGTTTTGCGTAAGCACATCTATTGACTTCCAAAAACAAAAGATAAAGAACAAGCTTATCTTTTCTCTCGATTTTCTCACAAAATCCTTTATTTAAAGTCTGCTTTTCGCTATTCTGTCATAGTAGCAAAGTAAACTAAGACTCKTTTTAGATTTTAGCAAAGAAAAAACAAGTCAAATGCATGGCCTCGCGCGAGGCTGTTTTGACAGATTCAAAATGGTGGTAATTTATGAAGTTGAATTTCCTTTGCTTTGAAAGGAAATAGCCGTCTGTCACATTTGATAATATTGCTAAAAGGTATGAATGATTTTCGACGCTTATAAGAAGAATTATAACCATAAAGAGGCTGTTCATATTACAATTTAAGTTTCTCTTTAAATAACAAGGAACAATACGCTATAAAAGAGAAGAAACCAATTTTTTTAAGCAAATGAATTACTAAAAAATTCTCAATAGTCAGTTACAAAGGTTCAAGATGTCAGTTTTTTTATCATTTGAAAAATAACTTCATTCTTAAGCAAAATAATGCCAATAAATCCATGTTAATTTTGAGAATTGGCGGTTTTAACTTTAATAGGAGTCACGAAAACAGCTAAGTCGTATCACCTTCGTTTCTAGGATACAGAAAGATGAATTAAGCCTTATTAGGTTAAACGTAGGTTCCTTTCGTCACCTGTCGAAAGCCGAAAGCGCTCCTTGCTTTTTTTAAATCGCTTAACTTCMAATGAGTCTCCGTGTGAAGCAACGGCTTGGAGGCATAAAATCATGTACGCCATTTAGAAGGTATTTTAAAAGCAATAAAACAGCGCTTAATTTCTAACTTTTCCTCCCTTTTCATATTAATTTTTATTGTTATTACTTGAGGCTGGATTGTCAAGCAGGGGGAACAAAAATTAACATATGAATTTTTTGGAAGTTGAATAMATTTTATCGTGATGTTTTTGTATTCGAACAGGTTTTTTAAATTGAGCTAATTCCTTAAGCAAAATATTTACTTTACAAAGTTATAAACATTTTTGGCAAAGACAAATCAATTTCTGCTGGTAGCACGAGACAAATTTAAGACTTATAGAGTGAAGTCATAGCTACTGGTCAAATACGCTTTGACTATTGAAGGGTGATAGTCGACATAGTCGACATAGTCGAAAGGAAAACAATGCACTCAAAAGCAATAAATTTCTCTCCGCTCTCATTGGTGGAAAGTCGACCACAGGTGACGCAATAATGCCCTCCTCGGAGAGGTACCCCAGTGAAAAGTCGGTTTTTCAGAGGCGAAATTCAGTTTGTTTTCAATGTTGGTTCTCATGAAAAAATGGGATGGAAGCCAAAGCTATATCTCCATGGGGTATCCCTCTGTTGTGTCTGGCTCTTATCAATTTTTTTTAGTATCTATTAAATCAGTTCTGAGTMCCAAATCTCTCATTTGCCAAATCGATACAAGAGTATACTATACGAACAGGAACTAACGTGGGAGTAATCTGCATTCAGTTACGAATATAAAGCCTTGGTCCTGTAGCTGCAAAGTTAACTTTGAGCGGACTTTGTATAATGTCAGGAGTCATAAATCTTTGTAGAAAATATTGGCTYAAAGCCACACGATTTAAACCGACAGTTACGGCGACTTTTTGGATGAGAACACTGTGGTTTTCGGATTGGCGGTTCTCCAGCCATCTTTAAGTTCGGATTTTTGGTATTTTCAATTACTGATTTGTAGATCGCTCAAAACGTTAAAAATGAGGATCAGAGATGGATTTTTCTTGTGGATTTGGACGAGTTTTTTTTACTGGATTTGCAGTTTTCAACACCCTCTGTGATTTTAAGTAGTGTTATGGAGGACGGTAACCTGTCATATTTGCTAATTTATGAAAATTGAAGAAATAAAACTGAATTCAATATCTGTAAACTGCACATGTATGCCAAAGACGGTATAAATCAGTTATTATTTTCAATCAATAGTTGAGTTTCGCGATCTCTTTTACGCTCTGTTAGCCTCAATTGTGTGCGTAAAAGATCACAGCGTAAAAGATCGCTATAAGGGTTTATTAGCAAAACCCATAGCTACTTTCGGTCGTGAAATGCTCCGTTCGACAATTGCCACTCGTCATTTGTTCCGACAACCTTTCTTGAAAAATGTATATATTTGAATCTCATGCATTTCTTGGAGATATGGATACATATTTCAATCATTTTTATTTAAATTTTATCTGTTTCAGATTCCAATTCTTCTTCATCAATTTCTCCATCTCCTACTGTCAGCACATCGTTCTGTACAACGACAGTTTGTCCCAATTCACTAGGTACGACAAATCAAAAAGTGCTGTCCATGGTTAAAAAATAATGTAAAACAAATCACTTTCATGAGCAGACCTATATGTAATACACTCGAACCTCTATTAAGCGGTCACCTTAGTGAAATTATAGGTGACCTCTTAATATTAGACGTTTTGGGAATTGATGTGTGACCGCTTGATGGAGGCTGACCGGTAAATAGAGGTTCGTTTTATAGAGGCTCGACTGTGTAAGTCAGTCATGCGTACCTGAAGCAGACACCAAAATAGCGTCAAAACATTAGATAGTTTTTGAAGATAACTTATTCTGTTATATGTTGATGCATTTGTTTATGTCTGTTGCTTACTTACTTGCTATTTGTCATGGTTGCCAGCCTGCTTAGTTTGACGAAGTTTATGATCCGTTGGTAGGTGCGTTAATAGTTGGTCGATTGGTGACTTGGTTGTTTGGATATTTGGTTGCCTGTTTGGTGATCTAGGTCGAATTCGTCCAGTTGTTGTTTGCTTACTTTCTTGTGATACTTCGTCGGTTTAGCTTTTGCCTGGATCATAGTTAACTTTGTCTCCTTCGCATCCGTTTTCGTGTCCCTCCCCGACACGAAAACGGATGCGAAGGAGACTATAGTTAACTATGCCTTAATTAGGCAAATATTTTCCATAGAAGCAATACTCAATACAATCTTCTTACATTTTTAGTAAGCTCTAGCGCAACAGCATCGCTGAATTTTTCAAGCTCGTCCAACTGCTCGACAATCCAGAGCTGCCCAAGCACATCTCTCTCAGGTGGAGTAGCAGTTTTCCTAAAAATATTTAACAATAGTATACGAATTCAAAGCAAATAACGGCTGTTTTATCTGACAGCAGATTCTCTTACGAAAAGACCTTACCAAACACAGACAATAATGCCCTTTTACAATGTTGGTAAATTTTAACATTCTGTAAATTTCTTGTCAATTTTGCTCGACCAAACATTGTAAATACCTTGTAAAATTTACAAAGTTTGTAAAAGGACGTTTTGTCTTTTAATTGAACAATTTACAGTACAATTACAGACTCTGTAAATTGTTGAGCTTTTCCAGTGATCTACATTGTTGTGGCAGTTATTAGAACGTCCTGTAGCTTACAATTTGAAGCTAGTATCTCACCGTGAACAAAAAACGGATATAAAGCTTTCGTTTCTTCATCTTCCAATCATGTTGAAATAACGGTAGCCACGGCTTTGCATGCGATGAGAGATCTATGAATAATTGTATGATGCCGTTTTAGAAAAGATTGAATACTGAATACTGATACGGGACAGTGTAGTGTAAGACCGAGATGCATTATTTGTCGCTCTGTCGCGGTTCAAAAGGAGTTTTCATACTTTTTGAGTTATTACAGTCAAAAGACATGAAGCGCACATCTCCGATTAGTTCGCTTTTCAATGCATTATTGGATTTTTCATTTCTTTTTTCGTTTTCAAACTTCAGTTGATTAATGCAAAATTAAATTCAAATCTCAAACTCTGATAATGACAGAAAACAACACAGCATTACCAGCTTTTTGAGACCGTCATTTCTTTCTCACGACAAGGAACAGATCCAACCAAATTAACAGACAGCATTACAATGCATCGACTTGTCGAAATTACAAAAGACCAGCATGTTTACAAGCGAAATACGAAGAATGCTTTATGAAAATCCGATCAATAATCCAATCAAATTTCGAAGTTTGAATTCAAATTTGATTTCCATAATGTAATGCTGAATCGACCAAGAATCAATGATGAATTGAATAATTGTGTTTTGAAGGGGCGCGCTTCATGTCTTTTGACTGTAACCTGCTCTGTAGAGTCAAAGAAATTCAATGGAAATAAATTCACTTTAGAATTGTGATTTTGTGACGCAGCTAGTTTAATAGCAAGAATGCATTGTGGTCTTGGAATACACTTGTATAAATAGATAACCAATAGATAATCTTTAATTTCAATAGTTTCCCCACCTACATTACCTCCAGCTACAACTACAGATTCAGCTTTTTCATCGCAATCCACTCCATCTACAATTACAACATCTGT